TAGCAGCAGCACCACAAACACGCCCCTGCCCACTCTTGCAAGTGTGTGTGTTGTGTGTGTGTGTGTGTGTGTGTGTGTGTGTGTGTGTGTGTGTGTGTGTGTGTGTGAGCTGTTCTGCATACAGCCGAGTTGAGGGAGGGAGTTGCGTCCAAGCGAACGCTGAATTTCCAACAACGTGTGTCGAACCATGTGCCTGATGCTCCCCAATCGCCTTCTTCCCGCCCCTCTTTCCCCTCTCACCCCGACCAGGTGGGTGGAGAAGAACGGAGACCGGCATGTGGGTCAAGTCACGGTGAAGCATCCATCTCACGCCCACCCACCGAAACACCTGCAATCCGCCACCACTACTACCGCTGCTGGCGCTGCCGCTGCTGCTGGCAAACTCCCAGCAGCAGCGGGAGAAACGGGAGCAGCAGCACGAGCAGCAGGCGGCAGCGGCAGTGGTGGCAGTGGGGCCGGTGCGGCCAGTGGGGCTGGTGCAGTTGGGTCAGCAGAGACGGTGGTGCTGGTGTGTTTGCTGGGTGGGGAGGCGAGTCTTCGCACGGGTGGGCGACTGCGCATGGAGGTGAATGGAGAGGACGTGCTGGTGTATGAGGAGGAGGGCAACCAGGGGTTCCGCCACAGATTCGGCGTGAGTTTTTTTTTGATATGATTCGATTCAGTTTCGCTGCAATACCATCTGATTTTGTTTGGTATTATTTGACTTTTGTCTGATTTCGTTTTCTGGTGCCTCAAGATTGTCTCACTTGTGCTTCCTCTTGCAGCTCTCCGTCTCCTCTTCTCTTCCCTCCTCACTTCGCTCCTCTCTTCCCTCCTCTCGTCCCTCCTTTCTTCCCTCCTCACTTCTCCTCTTGCCTCCTCCTCCTTCCGCTCCCTCCCCAGGACGAGGAGACGCTGATCTACAATCTCATGTACTGCAGCACGCCCATACACGTGGCCGTGCACGCTGTCAGATTCGCGCAGTGGCTCAACTTCCACCGCACTGTGCACCATGTGAGGCGCTGAGAGAGAGGGAGAGAGGGAGAGTGCACCATGTGAGTCACGGCACTGTGCACCATGTGAGGCATTGCGAGAGAGGGGATTCAGCATGTGAGGCACCACATGAGCCACTGTCCTGCTGCACAAGTTCTTATTTGATTAATCCACCTGCACCTCACTGCACCATGTGAGGGCTGCTGGGGGTTAGGACGAGAGAGAGGGGTGGGGAGCTCGTGATAAAGAAGGGGGTGTAAAGCACAGAATAGGCGCCTCACTTCAAGGCAACCATAAGGTTGAACGATATGTGAGGCGCCTAAAAAATCGCCTCAGTCCAAGGCAACCATAAGGTTGAACGATATTCAAAAACTTGATCATGCCACCAACCATCCACCCCAACCTCCATCTTCCCTTTTCCATCTTTTCCCTTTTCCCCACCTCCACCCCCCTTGCTCGGCTTGTCCCCCCTCCCCCATTTTTTTTTTTGTTTTTTTTTTTTTCTCCATTTTCAGCCTTCCCCTTCCTCCCGTCTCTCTCCCCCGTCCTTTCCCCGTTCCCTGTGTGCCAGGTGGACTATTTCCAGCTGTACGATGCGGGTGGCGTGGAGGAGCGGCTGCTGCAGCAGCTGGCGCCGGCCATAGAGGCGCGGGCAGCGGCAGTCATGGACATGCGCACCGTGGCGGGGCGGGATGGCACGGCGCATGGGCAGGTGGGTGGTTGGGCTGTGAGCAATGGCAGGTGTGCTTGCTCCGTCTTCCCGCCATAGAGGCACGGGCAGTGGCAGTCCTCGACATGCGTGCCATGGTAGGACGGATGGGACGGCGCATGGACAGGTGGGAAGAAGGACAGGGGCAGGTGGGGGGGTGATGGCATAGGCAAGCGGGAGGGGAGAGTGCATGGGTATGGCAGGGCAGGTGGGGGCCTGTGGTCTGCTTGCTATTTGGAAGAAGGGCAGGTGGGAGGAAGGGCAGATGGATGCACCGCGCTGTGCTTTTCATGCCTCACCCACCAACCTGCATTCCCATCAACCAACCTGCCCCACTCCCCTCACCCCTTGCTCCCTCTCCTCCCTTTCCCCAATTCCCCGCCTTTTCTCAAAACTTCTAGTTCCCCCAACTTTCGTCCCCGCTTCCCCATTCCCTCTCACCTTTCCTCCCCGCCTTCTCCCATTCTCTCCCTAACCACCCAACCACCAGCTACTGGCGTTGCATGACTGTCTGTCCTTTGCACGCACAGCGACGCGCTATCCTTTGCACTCCACACTCCGTCCTTCCACCAATCAACCTCCCTTCCACCCTTCCCCGCCCCACCTGTCTCCCCCTCTATCTCCCCAACCACCAGCTACTGGCATTCCATGACTGTCTGTACTTTGCACGCACGGCAGGGCGCAGTGCTTCCACATCACACTCACACTACATCCTCCAACCAGTCCACCTTCCCTTCACTTCACCCCTCCCCCTTCCTTCCCCCCCTCTCCCTAACCACCAGCTGCTGGCGTTCCATGACTGTCTGTAATTTGCGCGCACGGCAGCGCACTGTCCTTTGCACGCCACACTCCATCCTTCCACCAATCAACCTCCCCTCCACCCCCCCTCCCTCTCCCTAACCACCAGCTGCTGGCATTCCATGACTGTCTGTACTTTGCGCGCACGGCAGCGCGGTGGGCTCTCTTTCTGCACCCTGACGAGTACCTTCTGGTGCAGCAGCCGCCGCACTCCATCGCCCACGTGCTAGCGCTGCACCAGGTGGGGGGTGGGTGTGGCCATGTGGGTGTAGGTGTGTGTGTGTGTGGTTGCTGTTTCTCCATGATGAGTGTGTGAGTCACAGGATGCAGCCTCTCATATGAGTACCTGCTGGTGCAGCAGCCGCCGCACTCCATCACTCATGTGCTCCCCCTGCACCAGGTGTGGGATGGGATGTACGGGTGGGTGTGCTTCGGTGTGCATGGGTGTGTGGCTGCACTGATTTCTGTTCTTTCATGTGTGTGCGAATGCAATCCTCTCAAAGCGTCTCCGCCGCATCCCTCCACTCCTTCATCCTCTCAACCCCCTGCTCAGACTCTCGCCCCCTCCCCCCTTTCCTCTTTCACCACCATCCGGAGCACTTTGAAACGTCCTGCTTCTTATCAGACACCCCCCTTCTGCTCCCTGCACCTCCTTTTTCCGAATCGACTCAGAATTTCTGAGCACACCACCCCCTCCCGTCCTTCCCCCCGCCCTTCCCCCGTCCTCCATCCCACCCACAGCAATCCTCGCACGTCACCTTTGGAGCCTTCCGCTTCCTTACAGACACATGCCCCACCACCACCCATGCTAACCCTCTCGCCCTGCCCACTCACGGCCAAGGCCAGCAGCAGAGGCTGGGGAAGGGGCAGGGGAAGGGGAAGGGGCAGGGGCAGGAGAAGAGAGACGGAACGGCAGGAGGCATGGAAGCAGTAGCAGGGGGGAGGAGAGGGGAGGGCGAGGCGGAGGGCTGGGCGGTGGAGGGGATGGTATGGAGGGAGGCGGAACCTGCATGCAGGAACACATCGCAGTACCCTGATAGAAGCATGTGCCTGGAGGGGGTGGGGCAGCGCAAATTTGTGGTGGATCCCAGGCGAACCCACATGCTGGCTGTGAGTGCATCTTCTCTTTCAGAATTCTTAAAGACACACTGTAACTTGGAGGCAAGTTTGCGGTGAGTCCCAGGCATGTGCTTGCTGTGAGTGCATACAAGCGTTCTCTTTCTTCCCCCTGCTGCACTGCCCTTGCTCACACAAGACGCATATTGCACCGTATCTTGCCTTTGCGTTTGTGTGAGCAACCACACTCACTTACCCCTGCTGCGCTGCTCTTGCCACTCCATCAGGCTTCCTGGAAGCAGAGCAAGTGTGGAACACTGGTGTGAATGCACATTATGTAATATTCAACTCTGGAAAGAAGCAACGGTCACATGCATAACCCTAAAACCCATACACCCACCCTCCCTCGGAACACCCACACAGGTGGACAAGGTCCTGGAGCCACGGGCAGGGGAGGTGAATCTGCCCGCCACAGCAGTGCACATCAATCACTTCCCCAGCCTCATCTCTCGCCACCTGCTGCTGTTGTTGCTCCATCTCCCCTCGGAACCCCACACAGGTGCACAAGGTGCTAGAGCCACGAGCAGGGGAGGTGAATCTGCCCGCCACAGCAGTGCACATCAGTCACTTCCCCAGCCTCACCTCTCGCCACCTGCGCCCCTGTGCCAAAACCCTCTCGCCGGAGGAGATTTCTGCACGGCGCCTGGTGCTAGATAGCTCCGTTGCTGATCTGGCTCGGGCTGTTCGTGTGGCTGCAGAGACTGTGGCTGCTGCTGCTCGTGGCGCTGGTGGTGCTGCTGGTGTTGCTGGTGTTGGTGCTGGTGGTGCTGGTGTTGCTGGTGTTGGTGCTGGTGGTGCTGGTGCTCGTGGCGCCGTTGGTGCTGGTGGTGGTAGTAGTGTTTCCCATGGTGTTGCCGTGGCGGCCAGTTAAAACAAAGATGCACACCATAGCTTCTAACAAACAAACTCCTAACACACCAGCACCAGCAGTCTTCCCACCCACCCACCACCACAGCTTCCACTGTTTTGTCCCCGATAACTCTTTATCTTGACAACGAGTCAACGACATGCCAGTCCCCTCGTCTCACCACCAAGGAAGGATGTGGTACGGCAACAAGAGGAATGACCCCCCAAGTCAATTTCTAACCTAGGTGTGTTGCCTAACTCGTTTGACCATGCACTCTTGGAAGATGCAGCAGATGATACGGTATGCCCTTCACAAGCCCTGTTGTGCTGCAGCACTGCCGTCGAACAACCTGGCTTGTCTGTATTTACGGTAGTACAGTACATTACCTATATGCCCTAGAGTATTCAATTCTTTGGAGTGTAGTGTCACAGTGAATATCGCACTAGCATATCCTAAAGATCCAGGTATCAGTGCCAGGGTAATTCAGGTTCTCGAACGGTGCACATAATCTTTGCATAGACACATTGTTAGAACAAACCAATTACTGGCACTACGTTATCATTCCTGCAAGTTTCTACATTCTACTGGTACCTAGGAAAAAAGAACCGCAGGAAGTCAAACAGTCAGAAGGGGACATCACGGTGGATCAAACCTCACTTGTGAACATCATGACAAATCTCACTGATCGGACTGTCAAACCACACACCAAACCTAAAGCCATTGCCTCATTGCCCTTGCCAATAACAACCCCATCCATCACCACCACCCCCATGCCCATCCCCACCCCCATGCCCATCCCCATGCCCATGCCCATGCCCATCTCCATCCCCATCCCCATCCCCATCCTCCAGCACATCAATCACGATTACCATCGCCAGCAACAGCATCGGCAACAAGCCAGACAATCACCATAAATGCATTCTCCACTGTTGTCCTTCAAAACACTGCCCTTACTTTACATCTTCAATTTGCTTATCTGCCTCATACCACGCATCAGCATCAGCAGCACCACTTGCATCAGCACCAGCACTGCCAGTAACCTTGTCCTCACCAATAGCATCCGCATTACCCTTAGCATCTAAAGCAGCATCATGAGCCACGACATGATCGGCAGCAGCAGCAGGATCAGCGTTAGCTGCATCAGCAGCAGTAGCAGTATCATTGGCAGCAGCACCAGCAGCAGTAGCAGCAGCAGTGTCAGCATCACCATTACCAGCAGCAGCACCATCACCAGCAGCAGCAGCAGCAGTATCATCAGCAGCAGCAGCAGTATCAGCAGCAGCAGCAGCAGCAGCAGCAGCAGGAGTATCAGTATCAGCAGCATCAGCGTCAGCAGCAGCATCAGTGTCAGCAGCATTGCCAGCCGCATAGGCAGCTTCAGCAGCAGTGACAGCTGCACCAGCACCAGCAGCATCAGCAATGGCAGCAGCAGCAGCAGCAGCATCGGCAGCTTCAGCAGCAGTGGCAGCTGCGCCCGCAGCAGCAATATCAGCCTCAGCAGCAGCACCATCAGAAACAGCAGCATCAGCAACAGCACCGGCAGCAGCAGAAGCAGCAGAGTCACCATCACCCTTGCCCTTCACAGCTTCAACTCCTTCACTCTCAACCTCTTTCTCACTCCTCGACTCGCCAATCCTCGTTTCCTCCTCTTCGTCACCTGCTCCTCCTTCATTCCCTCCTACCTCAACTTCCACATGATCTTCCTCCATCCCCCCTGTCACACCCTCCACTTCCCCGTTCACCTTCCCCTCATCCTTCCCCTCTCCTGCTTGCCCGCACTCCTCAACCTCTGCCCCTGCCATCCCTTCCTTCAACTCCTTTTCCCCATCTCCAACACCCACCTCACTAGAAACACCACCAGCATCCTGCTCACCCTCGTCTCCCTCACCCTCCTCTGTCTTGCTCTTCTCTCCCTTGTACCCATCCTCACCTTTGTGCACCCCATCATCAGCCCTCACCCCATCCTTTCCCTCTACCTCTTTTTCCCCACCCTCTGCAGCGTTCCTCTTGGCTTCCTGTGTGCCTCCTTCCCTGCTCTCCTCTTCTGCTCCCCTAGAGACATCTGCAGCAGCATCAGCACCAGCAGCGTCAGCACCAGCAGCGCCAGCAGCAGCAGCAGCACCAGCAGCGTCAGCACCAGAAGCGTCAGCACCAGAAGCGTCAGCACCAGCAGCATCAGCACAAGCTTGCTCATTCTTCCCTTCATCAGCTTTGCTCTCCCTTTCCTCCGTCTCACCTGCCTCCTCCTCCTGCCGTCCACCCTCCTCATTCTCCTCCTCATCATCCTCCCCAAAAATCATCAGTGTTGTTCTCTGCCCCTTGCCTTCCTCCACCTCCTCCTCTCTCCTCCCCTCAATATCTCCTTCCTTTGCAAGCTCCCTCCCCTCCCCTCCACCCTCCCCTTCCCCCACATCACGCGCGTCGACAACTACAAGGGACGTCCTAGCACAACCACTGCACACATCCACAAACCATCCTTCCTTTAACCTTCTCCTCTCGCCTTCTACTGACATACCAGAAGCACCGGCAGCACCGGCAGCAGGGGCAGAACCAGCAGTGGCAGAACCAGCAGCAGCAGCAGCAGCAGAAGCACTCCCTTGTGACAACCTACACCGTACCAGTCGCACACGCCACTGCTTTCTGTTCTCTCCTTCCTCCTCCCCCTCCACCCTCCCCACTTTCCTCTGTAACTCCATCTCTCCCTTATCCCTCCCCCTCTTCCCCAACTTTACCCCAGAGCCCCTCGCACCACCTCCTACCACTCCCATTCCACCTCTGTCTATCCTCCTCGCAACCCCCCCCGCTCCCTCCTTCCCATCCTCCTCCCTGCCTCTCTTCCTCCCATCCTCCACCTTTGCACCCTTCTCTCGCCCCTTAACTCCTTTCAGCGCTGCAGCAGCAGCAGCTTCAGCTGCATTAACCCGTTTCCAAGAAGCCCCAGCAGCCACTTCAGCACCCCTTTTAACCCCTGCCAACCCCTTGCTTTCCTCTGCTTTCCCCGCCCCCTCACCTTCCTTCACCAACCCACCCTTTTTCTTCCCAGACTTGCTCTGTGGGCTCACTACAGTCTCCACCTTCCCTTCTTCCATCTTAGCAACCTTTTTGACATTCTCGCCGGGGAAAACAATACGGTTGAACACACTTACCTGTTGCGGTTTTGAGTTTCGCCGGAAAAGAGCAATGAGGGTTGACACCTGATCATGCACAGAAGGATCAAGAAGTTGGTCAGAATGGGGTTGACAAAGGAACGCAGCACCTTATAGATAGGCCACATTTTCCTCAAGGCACATGGAGAATGGTCTCGAATCTCTAGGCGCCTCGCAACTTGTTTCAAAGACCGCGGCAGCAAGTTGAGAGGTCACATCAGTAATAAGCGAAGAACGGTTTTAAACAATCAAACTTCAATAGTAAACAGGTCCATGGCAGAGGGAACTGATGTAGATTGGTATTATTCAAGGTTAATTAGGATTGCATGGTATAGTCAAAGAGAAGGGCAGTGGGGAAGGGAACGGCGGGAGAGACAGCGAGGAGGAGGGAGAGAAGGAGAGAGAAGAAACGGAGAGAGCGAGAGAGAAGGTGAGCATCAGATGAGCACCTGTTGGTCTGTGAGGGTGAACGAGTATCTGCGGTTTTTATAGACATTGTCCCTTATCGCAGACTTAAACTCTGCCTCCTTGAGTGCGGGAAACTCCTCCTCCACCTCAAAACGCACCTGCTTGGGTTACATTCGTGCAGAGACGCATGCACGCATCCAGACACACGCACAGTCGCGCGCAGTCATGCACACACACGCATACACACCCAAGTGCGCATGCATCACACGCGAATCAACCACAAAAACATGTGTGCTATGCACATTTACACACACATGCATACATGCACACATGAACACATGCACATTCGCATACCCACATGAAAAGCAATGAGTCAAGAAACTGATACACTATGAAAGTGCAAGACAAATGTATCAACCAGATAACCAGGGGAGGAACGAATCCCTGCAAGTACAAACAAACCGCACGCAACGAGCAGAAAAAAGGGCATCCTCCACACTTCCAAGCATCCATTCCATTTCTTTGTCCTTTCTATCTACTTATGCTCCAATGAAACATGAAATGATCCGATGTTGTGCTCACCACACGCTGCCCCCTTATTGACCCCATGCCCATCTCACACACGCACGCACGCCACTCACAAGCACCCACCTGCCAGGGAAAGCGGCCTTGCCACGCGTCCCTCACCAGGGCGCAGCCTCCCTTGCCGCGCGCAACGTACACGCCGTGCATCACACGATCCTCAAAGTTGAAGAGGAACAGCCGCGTGCCCTTTTCTATGCGCTCAATTTCACGGCAGTGAGTGGACGTGCTCCCGAACAGCCCCCGGTTGTAGCACTCTTGCTTTGTGAGGTTCGTGCACCCGAAAATGTACCCAGGAAGGGCGTTAGAGCTGGGTTTATCGCTGCCTGTCCCCTTGCCCTTCTCCTTCTCTTTTGCCTTCTCCTTCTCTGTAGCCTTCTCTCGCTCCTTCGTTGTGTAATCGAGCCGCTCCTTCACTGTCTGCTTCTCCTTCTCCTTCACCTTCTCCTTTTCCTTGTCTTTCTCCTTCTCTTTCTCCTTCTCATTCTGCTTCTGCTTCTCCTTCTCCTTCTCGCTTTCCTTCTGCTTGTCCTTCTCCTCCTTCTCCTTGTCCTGTGGCTTGCTGGCATCTAGCAGCTTCTCCTTCTCTTTTGTTCTCTCATCCTTCTCTTTCTCCTTCTGACCCTCTCGTTGCCCCTCCTTCTCCTTCTGCAACTGCCGCTCTTTCTCCCGCTCTTTCTCACGGGTCTTCTCTCTCTCCCTCTCCCTCTCCTTAACCCTAACTCTATCCCTTTCCTTCAGCCTCTCTCTATCTCTCTCCCTCATTCTCTCCCTCTCCCTGTCTCTCTCCTGCTCCCTCCCCCTCTCTCTTTCCCACTCCCTTCTCCTCTCCCCAACTTTATCCATCCTGCCACCCACACCAGTCATATCCACATGCACAACGCGACCATACTCAGCAGCCTCAACTCTTCCCCCCCCATGGCCCTGCACAGCACGCACGTCTGCATACCCCGGCTGCCCTGGAAACAGGGTCACAGGAACAACTGTCCTGCGCCCGCCTTGCTCCCTACCCTCTTCCCCTGGCCCTTGCGGAGACGCTCGGGCCGTGATGCGAACCGTTCTTGTGGGAAGAGCAGGAGAGTGGGTGGACGGTGGGAGAGTCCCGCCAAAGTCTGGTTGCTGAACAGGCACCTGATGGGGCTGATACGCGGGAAACCCACCCCTGCCAGCACCATCAGCAGCAGCAGCAGCAGCAGCAGCAGTTGCAGCACCTGCAGCAGCAGCTGCTGGCATGGCCGGGTGATGAGCGTGGCCCGGGGCAAGGAGCATATGAGGATGCATGTGGGAGGGTTGCAGGTGGGGGGGAGGGGCGGTGGCACCGTAAACCACATGTTGTGCTGGGTGCCGGTTAGGGAAGACAAGTTGCGGCGCACCAGGGGCAACAGCAGCAGCGGGAGCAGCCCCGGAGGCAACATCAGGCGCAGGAGCCGCGGAAGCAGCCGCAGCAAGAGCAGGAACAGAGACAGGGCCAGGAGCAGGAGTAGGGGCAGCAGCATGGGCAGCAGCAGGAGGAGCCGAAGCCACATAGACCAATTTAACGCCAGTCCCATCGTAAATGTGCATTGGAATCCCCATGCCCGGTGGTACAATATGAACCGGCTTGCCTGGCTCGACCATGCCAGGCATGCCGGCTGCTTGAAGCCCTCCCGCTTGCCCATACACCATCGCTGCGTTTGCAGGCTGCGTGTTTGATCCTGGAGCAGCAGAGTAGATCATTGTGGATGGTGGCAGCTGGTGGGGAGCGTGCGGAAAGGAACCGGGAACAGCAGCAGGAGCAGCAGAAGCAGGAGCAGCAGCAGCAGCAGTGCCTGTGGATGCTGTAGCTGAAGCACCGTACGGCTGCTGCGGAGGAGCGTATCTCGTTGCGTCCAGGTTCGATGAATCATACTGAGCTCCCTGACTCCGTCCGGCACGCAGAGCGTATGTCATTGGAGCCATATCCTGCAGCAACCGCTCCTCCTCGCGCTGCCTCTGCTGCCACTGCTGCATCTCCAGCTCTCTTCCCCTGTCTCTCCCCGGATCTCTCTCCCTCTCCTTCTCAATATATCTCTCCCTCTCCTTCAACCTCTCCCACTCCCTTGCCCTCTCCCTCTCCCTTTCCCTCTCCCTTTCTCTCTCCATCTCCCTCTCCCTCTCCCTCTCCCGCTCCCTCTCCCTCTCCCTCTCCCGCTCCCTCTCCCTCTCCCTCTCTCGCTCCCATTCACCCACGCCCATCACGACACCTCCTCCTCTTCCGCCCATACCACTTCGACCACCAACATACCCAGCATCACTTCTCCTCCCTCGCTCTCTCTCCTCCCCCCTCCACCCCTCCCTCCTGCTACCCCCAGCCAATTCTCTCTCCCGAAGAGCAGTGGCAGCAGCAGCACGCGCTCTATCCCCTGAAACCCCACCATCCCCTCCGCCCCCACGCTCCTGCCACTGCGAAAATGCCACCTGTTCATGCTGCGGCAGCTGCTGATGCCGGTGCAGCTGCTGCTGCTGCTGCTGGCTATACTGCCTAGGTTGGTCCACCGGGACGAAGGGAGCGCCTCTCAACTGCACGTTCCCCTCCCTCTCGCTCCTGTTGCCCCTATCCAACCTTCCCTGCCGCTCGTCCGTCTCGTGCCATGAGCCTGAGCCCGAAGCACGCCTGTAGCTGCCACCGCCACTCATTGCGACCGGATGGCTTGGCTTTGAGTATGGAGACTGAGTGTGCTAAAGGTGGGTGGTTGTATCGCCACGACGATGAGCTGACGGAAGGACGGACGGTCAGGAGGACGGACAAGGGGTGGATAGACGGACAGCCGATTGGCGTGCCTGTCAGCTAGATGGATTGCGGCCGGGATGAAGGGATGGGTCAGTGGCGCTCAGGGCTGTCGTTGATTGAACTCCGCTGGGAGTGGGAGGGCAGTGCGTGGAACCGACGGTTCAGTACTGCTCTTCGTTCCGAGCAAGCCCAAGCAGATGAGTACCGGACAAGTACCAGACACTGCCTCTTGTTGACCGGACAAGTACCGGACTATAGCAGCTGGGACCCCCAGGCACGCGAGGCAATGTGAATTGCCGGCGAGGGATGTTGGAGGGATAGGGCAAGACCCAGCCTAACAAAGGGGCTTTCAGGGATAGCCCCGGGATTCTGACCACACGACCACGCCGACCAGCTCAGAAGCTGCTGCCAGCCACCAATGTTGCTGCCGTCGCTGTCGCAGCAACTGCAGCGAGAATGCGTGGTGATGATTCGACTTGAAACTCGAATTGCAAATCTTGAACTTGAACTTGGGACTTCGGGGTTTAGAGCAGTTGCCTTGGAGTTACGGATCTTCACTAGCTGGCCTTACGTAGCCGGGCTCCACTCCTTGCTGCTCGGCTTGAGAGACTACAAGCGCCAAGGCACTGCCGCTGAAAACGAAATGCCTTATCGTTATTCAGGAGGGATGACGTGGGGTTGTAGCGTGGTGGGATTGAAGTGGAAGTGGAGCGAAACCGGAGGAGCACAAGCAGAACTGCGCTGAGAGGCGGCGAGAGGGGAGAAAGACTTTGTAAGTAGTGGCAGGAGGAAAAGATGGGCGGCTGTGCTGGAGCAGAGGAATAAAGGATGGAAATAGGAGGCGCCTGGCGTTTGGCGGTGGAACTGGAAACGGCGAAGTGGAGGAGATGGTGTGATGGGACGGAATGCGCAAGAGAGTGGGAAGAATAGGTAGGTGGAGTTGGCGGAAGGAGGAGGAGGAGGAGGAGGAGGTGTGGTGGTGGTGGTGGTGGTGGTGCTGCTGCTGCTGCTGCTGCTGCTGCTGCTGCTGCTGCTGCTGCTGCTGCTGGTGGCGATGTCGATGGGAATGGCGATTTCAATGGCGCTGGCTATGCTGAAGATGATGGCGATGGCAATGGGCGATGCTGATGACGATAGTGCCGCTGGTGTTAATAGCGCCGCAGCCAACCACAGGCTATCACGACAGAGCCAAGCGATGCACCAGGCTTATCCAACAAGTAGGCCACACCACGAGGCAGCAAACGGCAGCGACCAGCCACCGGCACTTGATGCAATTGCAGACTCCTGGCAGCTTCCGTTCCTTTCACTGAAGGAAGCACGGGACGTCACTGCTGATCAAAGGCTCGAAATGAACCCTTACAACAGCGGAACGTCGCGACCCAGTAGCTTTGAAATTCTTCAGGAAAGCAACGACGGCGTGTGCGAAACCGCCCGTCCTCTGCAACGCTCGCTGTCAAACGCAGCAACGCTGTCAAACGCAGCAACGTCGTTTCAAAATCATACACGCCCTCGCAATTCGTGTCTTCAGGCCACCTACGCGCGAGTAGTGCGACGACGCGCGATCTTCACCTCTACTCCCAAGTCACAGACGTCGACCGGAGGAGTGAGACTCCTCATCTCGGGAAGATGTGAAACGCAGCTATCTCTGAACCCTGTCGATCCTTGCACGCCCAGCAAAGGAACCAATTCCCTTAAACCCTGTCGTGGAATGCAGGATCCGTATGCGGAGACCCCAAATTCCTGCTGACAGAGCTTTCAGGGTTGAAGATGGCTCCGAAAAAACGGGCCGTTAAACGTCGAGCGGGTGGGCAGCAGATGCGGGTAGGAGAGGCGCGCGTGTGGCGGAGGAGAAGAACCGAAGAGAAAAGCCGACGACGGGCACAAGTCGGCCAGAGAAGAATGGGCGAGTCAGCAAGATAAATCCGGTACACCTTTGCGATGTACTTCAGGCAGAACCTGGAGCTGTTAGCAGCCCACGGATTGACGCGGTGATGCGGAGCGACGAGCGCAGATGAAGGAGCGAGGAACGCAGAACGCAGAGGTGCTGAGCAAGAGCGAGGAAAACACGACCACACGTGAGTCGGGATGAAGGATGCTCAGAGTGGAATCCCGCGGGAGAAGAGAGGAGGAGAACCGATTGAATCAGGAAGGTTGTTGATGATGGAGATGAGCAGGACGACCAGTGTGGTGCGCGCGACAGATACTCGATGCGCACGGTGCGAGGCGTGACGTTAGGAGACGGGGAGGAGACGAGCCGACGAGATGAGGTGAGCAGAGACGAAACCGGGCGAGCAGTGGCGAGACGAAGCGGGACCAGGCGAGAGGAGGCGAGGCGAAGCAGGACTAGGTGATGAGTAGTCGAAATGAGACGAGGCACTGAAGGCCGACGATTGGCGATGAGAGGAGACGACAGAGAAGCGTAAATCGCTGCTCGCCTGAACGACGGGGAACCGATACTCAGCCCTTCTCTTTCACAGTCCGCAACCCTTCAGTGAATCCACCCTTTTTTGCTAGAAGCGGATATGCAGCCAAGGTGAGGCTTTTGATGACGATCAAACAATGGCGCACGGTTAAAGGTTAACTCGAACCACACCGGGACGAGCCAAGCCGGGACGAGTCAAGCCGAGTTGCAAGCAATGCGATGAAAGGGCGAAGAGTGCCGGATCTGGCCGACCGCGAAGCAGCAGAAAAACGGGAATAACCGGGAACTGGATGGTCGTGCAGGGAGTGGCTCTGGGATGCTGCGGTATAATCTCTCCACCGAGTGCAGGATCTACGACCAAAAAGGGTTGCGTGTAATCGCGGTAACGGCAGACCGGTCTCCACGACAAAATGCTCTGAAGATTGAAAAAGCGTAACAAAATCTTGAGACGAGTTGGAAGATCGTAAATCGTGGAAAGTCGTAGCTTGAAGGCCGTCTTCTTGATTCTCACGGTGGAGGAACCGAGATGTGCGGAGGTCTCGTACAGCCTCGAAAAGGACAGATCTGAGATCAATAGTGGGGTGGAGTGACGAACGCGATCGACGGAAGCGTGCGAGCGGTTGTTGCGGTGAGCAAGGGGAGTGGCGATGAGACGAAATGGCGATCTTGAAGAAAGGCTGATGACGAGGAACGAATAAGAATGCACGACACTAAACCCTAGGTAGATCCGTGACTAGGAAAGGGTAGCCCAGGAACGGCAGCGAACTAAACTCGCCACGACTTTACAGCCATAGGGAAAACGGCGGCGATATCGAAGCTGACAAGCTGCAGCCCAGATACCAGACCAGACCATAGACGACCAACATCATGAGTGGAGTGCCTTTGCTGTTTGAATAAATGCTTGGTGGCCTGGCCATTCTAGAAATTGGATGGCAGGGATTACCAATAATCACTGAGGCATTTGCTGCAGAGGCGAGCCAGCGTGACTGTACAGGGCGAATGAGAGGCGTTCATGCAAGAACGCGAACAGGTCTCGATCGCTGGTGCGAATGTATCGCCTGTACCGAGGGTGTGCAAATGTGCGGCTGCGATGTATTCTCGGAAATGGAAACAGATCGTGTACGCACATCCATAGCGCAGGTCCCAGAAACGCATAAGTGGCCTTCCCGATCGCAGTGTAGCCATACTCCATGATGAAGTCAATATTTACAACGAACAAGCCCTGTGTACAGCTAAATAATTATTGTGAAGACAAACACAAAACCACACAACCTCTCCCAAAATCATTTAATAGCTACAGGCATGCGTACGTGCGCCCTAAACCCTGCTTGTACACCGATTGTGCACAGCTGGTGCATTCATAGGATCTTGCGGCGCCGTAGGTAGATGAGCATGAGGACAAACATGACCACACCACCTAAGACGATGCCCCCTGTGGTCATCCAGAATGCACTCTGGTTGGGGGGGGGGGGGGGGGGGAAGGGGGGAGGGGCAACATTATGTTGAATAAGCGTGCTAGAAGGTTCAACAAATTTCTCCTGACAGCGCTGAAAGGTTGACACAAACATGGCTAAGAAAGTGAGAATGGACATGTGGTTTTTGCATACATGTAGAGACGCATGTGCATGATTATCCAGAACGAAAGTTGGAAGAGAGGGGGCAACTTACAGCACACTCTTCCAACCGACTTCGAAGGTTCATCCCGAAGATTCCTGTCAGTGGCCAGCGGCATAAGCAAGCAATGCAGTCAACCACCGGCAAGTACAGAGTGTCACAGTCATGCGCATTGAAGCCGCATGGCCGCACAAGAGAGGAGAGTGAGCGTGAGAAGGCTTTAACAAATGCAGAAGATGAGGAAGGATAGACAGTCTTTATTGAGAATAACATTGACGAGCAGCACGGGTGAAGCAGCCAAGAACACAACGGACGAATCCAAGATCACGCAACATGACAGCGAAGGACCCGAGCAAGTGGAAAGCGTAAGGGCGTAAAGGGGTGCCATAAAAGGACATCAGGGTTTAGCGGATGCACAGGGAAGCAGCACAACAGCACAGCAGCACAGCCCATGTGCTTTGCTAGAATCGAATCAGTGTGAGAGCGTGGCTGACCTGCGATGAGGGCCCCTATGGCTGAGGCGAATGTGGCCACCTGTAGCAGCAATTCAAAGCGACTCACTTCCAGGCGGCGAGAGCTGCAGAGCGTATGCAGTGGGCAGGGGTGCATGGAGGACGGAAAGAAGGGGATTGCGGAAGGAGACGGGAGCTTGAAGGAAGCAGATGGTAAGGGCAGGAGAAGGTGAAGGGAGCAGGTTTCGAGACTTCCTAAGAAGGAGATGGGGCATGATGGCAGCAGAAAGTGAAGGTAGGGGAAGGTGGAAGGTGCGTGGGGGAGGGAACGGGAATGGTGGGAGAGAAAGGAAGCTCATGCGGCATAGGTGGCGAGGAAAGTGGAGCGGAGGCGGAATGAGAGGGAAGTCGAGTGGTGTGGTGGTGGTGGTGAAGTTGATGTTGAGTTGAAGAGAAGAGGCCCACCTGAGGTTGACCGAGATTGAATCCTCCATCTCCCTGGCTGAATCCAGTAGCTTCTCCGCCTGCCCATGGCACGAGTCACACCTGCCATGTGCACACACACACACACACATGCGCCCGCACATACACACACATGCACACATGCAGGCATCCACTTGCACATGCAGGGACACATATGCCCATACGCACGCAAGCACATGCACAAACCATTCAAACGGAAGACCATCCACATGCACACATAGGAAAGGGTTGAGTGTATGGGTGCAGGTATGGGCATGGGCATAGGCATGGGCATGGATGGCAACAGCAGCAATGCTGTGAAGAAATTGTGGCGAGCACGCCTCTGAGTAAGTGATAAAGCAAGAAGAAACAGCATGATGGGCCTGAGCTTCCTCGCGCACGCAACGCAAATCAAGGCAGCACAAGCACAAGCACAAGCACTAACACTAACACTAGCAGCACTTTTTCGATGTCTTAAAGCCAGCAGCAGTAGCAAACAGAAGGGCGGGCGGGCGGGCGGCATACCGTTGGAGGTAGTACTCTAGGAGCATCTCCACCTCCTGCTCCTCCTCTGCTTCCCCCACACACAGCAAATCATGCACCGCACCGCACAGAGAGGAACGAGAGAAATTGGTGACACACATGGCTCAAGGACAAGCCTAGTTGACTTGACGCCACTTGCCCGGTCAGGCACACAAACCCCTTCCAGTCCACACCCCTAATCCTACAAATCCCTCCACGCACATATGTACCCCACTCAGCCCTGCACGCACCCCGACCCTGCCACACCCCCCCGCTGCCTCCCGCCCCACCCACTCTCCCGCCCCCTACCCTCTTTGCGCCCGCTCCCCTCCCTCCGTCGCCCTCACCATCCACGAGCCGCTGGTCGATGGGTGTGGGGCACTCCACTTCGCCATCCTTGCTGACGTGGCAGTGCCGCCCCATGGCTGTGATGCGCCGCAGGTCGCTCGTGTGCTCCAGAATCTCCAGCAGCATCTGCCTCAGAGCTCCCACCTTCGACCCCAGCTCCACCTGTAAGGGAGGGAAAGAAAAGGGGAGGGAGGGGGGTGAGCGGAAAGAAATGGGGGAGATGGGGGGGCGTAGGTTGCTCGTGTGCTCCCAAAGCTCCAGCAGCATCTGCCGCAGCGCCCCCACTTTCGACCCCAGCTCCACCTGTAAGGGAGGGAAAGAAACAGGGGAGGGGCGAAAGGAAAAGGGGGTAG